CCATAATACGTCCCATAAAACGGGCGTTTAAAAAAATTATTACATAGTATATTACTAAAATAAGTAAGTTTAAAATAATCTGTTAAATAGTTTCCTGATTACTTTGAAGAATCTGAAAAGGATTGAATTCATTATGTTGAACTCTTTGATATTGTATTCATATTAGTCTGATTGTCATATAACAGTTAAAGCTAGAGATATCTTTCTTAATTAAAGTCTTTTGGTCGAACAGGGGTCAAAGTTGGAATAAACTGAGAGCAGCTGGATACACCCGCAGAGGTCCAACCCTGAACAGCTGGGGCAAAAATGGACACAATATTCAAGCTTGATACAGGTCTGAATTTGGATTGTAATTAAATATTTGACATATTATAGGTTTATGAATAAATGTAGTCAAAGAACTTGAAATTGGTTATATGAATTGAATTTATCTTCAATTAAAGATTTCTTGCTGTTGTGCAATACTTAGTAAATCTGTTGTCAGACTATAAACAAATAAAGTTCATTTTCTTCTCAATGTCATATTTGAAATTTATGAAAATCAAATGGAGATTACATCAATAGCTAAAAAAATTCACCAAAGTTTCATGAGAACTGCTGAAAGCATTTTTGAGTTATTGTCCAAAAACTGGAAAATTCCCCCTTTTTTAATGAATAAAACCCCATAACTCAGAAATGAAAAATCTAAAATTTATAAAATTCTAAAGGGAGCTTACATTAACAGATATAAACAATTCACCAAAGTTTCATGAGAACTGCTGAAAGCATTTTTTAGTAATTGTCTGAAAACTGGAAAATCCCCCTTTTTTTATGAATAAAACCCTGTAACTCGGAAACGTAAAATCTAAAATTTCTAAAAATCAAAAGGGAGCTAATGTCAATAGATATAAACAATTCACCACAATTTCTTGCAAGTTGGTGAAAGCATTCTTGACTTATTTGATGATTTTCCGTCCTATTTCTTGACCCCAAAGACCGAGGGATGCTGATATAGGTATTCAGCTGTAGTCTGCATGAACAGTGGACACAAGTAAACACATTAACCCCAATAGTTCTTAGGTTGGAGTGAAACACCAGTCTAAAGAAGGTCATTTGGACAAAAAATACGGAATTTCATGATTTTTTCCGATTTTGGACTTCAACTGGACCTGAAACCAGAAGTAGTCGTTTCCTCTGCGTATTTCAATAATAATTATGATCAGTAGATATATGCCTGCGGGTTTACACTATTTTTGAATTTTTTAGGCCTCAGAACTTCCTGTGTAAGACACAGAAGGGAAGCCCACCCCTCCAGAAAAACCAGTTTTATCCGATTTCATTTTTCCAAGTTCGTATTTGAGCTCAAAATGCTACTTAAACATGAGAAACATGACAATAGATGGCCTCAGGTTGAGGGAACATGCATCAATTTCGAAATAAGTATCATAAAGTTGACCTCTAAAAGTATGGAGAGCCATTAGAGCCAAATAACGGTGGTCTGGGTCATCCCGTCATATGACGGGCACAGCATGGTAAGGGTTAATGTCCGACATGTTGACGACTGACGGACAGACGGTCAACCATAATACGTCCCGTAAACAGGTGTATAAAAACTGCATTCATGCTCAAGAGCTAGGAAGCCAGGTGTTTATTTTTTCTATCGATTACTAAATTTCAAATGATAAATTCTTTATAAACTACTGTAATTAGCAAACTTATTGACATTAGCAGTTATCAAAATATTAGCAAATTTAAAGATCAGTAGTATCTAATAAAAAAGAGGCATTTCTGTTGTGGGACATATTACAAACTTGAGCATAGGACAAAATACCTGAATCATTGTCAGTTTTTTTCTAGCCAAAATTGTTTTGTTAAATAAAATAATTAATTTTACATAAAATCCTTTTAAAGCAAATTATACATGCAATGTTACTCATCTTCTTTCTTTCTCTGGACCTTGGTGATCATTTTCTAATGAATTGGTATACCTTTTCGATTTCCTTTTCCTTTCTCTAGACCTTGATCTTTTTCTTTCCCTACTTCTTGAACGTGGTTTTCTTGGGGATCGAGATCTAGATCTTCGTCTGTTATTAGGAACTTTTTCCTTTTCAAATTCTGAAAAAAGTTAGCATGAATAAGATTTTCCTATCCTGATAATACATTTAATAAATTTTCTACTTTTTTATAAATTAGTACATGAAGTATAGCATTTTATTGCACGACTTTACAGCTTCATTTACTTCCTATTATATTTGCTAGATCAAGTGATTGGTCTGTATATTGTCAAATGTGTATTATATTTATAGTTTTTTTATATGTATAGTAATTAAGGACTAACATGAAACAATAAACGATACAACATTCATTTTTAATGCAAAAGACATTGCAATGGTTTGATGTATTCTTACATGATTTGTAATCCTGAAAAGTTTTAAAGTCTTGGACTTTTGACTTTAATTGCTCTTCCATCAAAAGCATTTTCCTTACCCTGTATCTTAAAAAAAAATGTTTGTTCCTTTTCTTCAAATATATTAACCAATTAGCAGTTTTATTGTTCTATGAAAACTAAAATTAAACTATTTGTGTACAATATCTCGAGATCTAACAAACACTTATTACACCCAGCTACATATGTATGTACATGTACCAAGTCCAGAACCTCTTCAGTGCTTCAGTAACATTTACATCTGAATGATGTTTGTCCTTAGTGTGTTGACAAAAGATCTTTTGATATTCACTGTTAAATTTGTTGTTAACTTTTCTAGACTAGGGACAAGTTGGAGCTTGACATATTTATAGAAACTTGTTGAAGACCATATATAGGTATAAGAAGATGTGGTATGAGTGCCAATGAGACAACTCTTCATCCAAGTCATAATTTGTAAAAGTAAACCATTATAGGTCAAAGTATGGCCTTCAACACGGAGCCTTGGCTCACACCGAACAGCAAGCTATAAAGGGCCCCAAAAATGACTAGTGTAAAACCATTCAAACACTTTTTGTATTTTGTATCATTAAGCTAAGGTTGCTGTCTTATTGACAAACACAGAAAATAACCAAACAACAGAGTGACTGTTGATATCTTTAGTTTTCTATGTGATGGTTTGTGAACTGTTGTGTTTTGACTTTTCAGTGTTTTTCTTTTTTTTGTCATGGTATTGTAGGTATTTGTTTCATCGAGTTTTTTTTTTTTAGTTATTGCTCCTTCATATCTTCTCCCTCTTTTTTGGAAAACCAGGACGACATAATATCATACACATATTTGTTAGTCTGGAAAAAAAACTTTCTTGCCCCACTAGCCCATGATTATTCTTTATACAATAAGTTTTGGTTTTATAATCATGATAATTATAGTATGCAAAACTTTAAAGCAATATCCATATTTCTGACAGCTATATAAAAATCAGATATGTAGATGGACGCTGTTTCTTTGATAAGCTGTCATTTGCAAAATTATTATTGCATGTCCAAAACAATTCCTTCAAAATAGCTTGCATTTTGACAGTATAATTAATCAATGATCACTCTCTCTCTCCCGGCAAGAAAACCATTTAATGCTGACAGTAACATACCAATTCCTAAAAGAAAAAATAAATAAATAAGTTTTAAAAATGCAAGTATGAATGGACTGGCACATTTAGTCATATTAAGCATGTTAAGCAGATATGTTTCATATTTTGCACTATAGTCAATATTTCTTTATTTCTGACATGTCCTATGGGACAAGCTGTGTAAAAAATTATGTCAAAACCATAACAAAGCAAGAAAATATGAAGAAACAGATTAAGGGAAGGTATGGGTGCCCGCAAACATGTTTAACTCCACCACATTCAGTGGCGGAACCAGAACTTTTAATAAGGGGAGGGCGCTCCAGTCATGCTTCAGTGATTCCCTATATAAGCAACCAAATTTTTCCCACAAAAGGGGGGCCCGCGCCCCCCTGGATCCGCCTATGACATTCTGCATGTGCATGTCCCAAGCCAGCATTGCCAGCAACCTGTTCTTCAGTGGTTGTAGTTTGTTGCTGTATATCTTATTTGTATTTTGTTTGCTGTTTTGAACAAAAATCAGGCTGTTAATTTTCTTGTGTGAAATTTAGTCATGCCACAGCCTTTTAAAGTGTGTTTTGCTCATTATTAAAGACCATCAGGTGAGATATAGTTGCTAAAATCTATTTTATTTGGTCTACGGTGGATAATTGTCTCATTGGCAATCATACCACATCACCTTATTTTGTATTGATAGATGGTGTTCTAACACAATTTATCACATTTGGTCATATCATGGCAGTCAGCTGGTTTTATTGGTGAAGGAACGCCAGAATCACTTCCTTCAGCAGGAAAACTGTCAACAAGACACCTCACAAGGGCAGTAGAATGCAATGCACAAAATCATGATGTGATTGTGGACAAATTTTAGAAAAGTCTTAATGATGCTCTAAAACTTAGCAAAAGACTATAATCATGATAATCAACACCGAATTCATTTCATCAAATTAAACAACATATTATTTTTAAATAAATATATAATTTTTGCTCCATTTGGACTAATTGGACGAAATCATTACCCTGACGGATGAGAATCGAAGAATGCGTTACGTTATCAGGTTATCGACTATCGTACAAATCTATATACGATGATACACGCACCAAAGCGTTCTTTTGTAATTTTAGGACCCTCGATTGTTACAAACCCTTACTTGCGAAATGGTTATGTATAACATTGTTAGGGGCTCATGTCTTAATTTTAAGGGTTATCTAAACAAATAAACACCTCTGTTTTCGGCTAACTGTCTTTCAAAATCGTCATATTCTTCTGCCATGTCTGAACTGTTAAAAATGGCCGCTGTAAACGAACTAAGGGGAGAGAACTCGTTCACGATTTTAACGTTTTTCTGATTAGTAAAGTTTAATGATGATAAGACGTTCTGCAATCAAATGCTAGATAATATAAATGCCAATTATGCGTTAGATTTAAGTTATTATATACTTTATATCATCTTTTTTTACAGTTCAAACACGAACACGAAGCTGAGGGCTACTTAAATTTAAAACACGGATCGAACATCAGATTATCCGGAAGTTTGTGTCCGAAGCAGACGAAAAAGAAAAGGCAAAATATCCGGTAAAAAGTAATTTCAAAGTCAAAATTTTAAATATAAAGTACTTAAGACTTAAAATATACACATTCATTGATCAGATAAGAATATTATAGGTATTATTATTTTTTTTATCTTTCTACAACACTATAAGTATAAAATTGAAATGCATTTTAAAATTAGTCTTTGGATATGGGATGCTCATGATGCTTGGCACTTCAAATTGTTTTATTAAGGATTTTCATTTTAAAAAGAATAATTATGTTACTAAGTGTGAAGGTATTGCTGTAAAAAATAGGTACCGTAACTCCCCTTAAACTCGCAAACATGAGAACACAACACCCTTTTTGCTTTACACCTATAGGTTTTCAAGAATATGTCTCGTGCTTCTGTTATGCCTTATGGTGCTTGATTTAAATATTTTAGAGGCCAGCTGATGCCTGCCTCAAGGTGTGGGGTTTCTTGCTGCGTTTAAGGAACCATTGGTGACAGTTCTGCCAACTTTTAATAATGCAAATGCGTGAGATTTGGCCAAAATAGTAAAGATCAAAGAGAAAAAACAATAGATTAGAGGAAAATGCCGCCAAATAAGCATGAAAATGCGTGAGTCTCACGCTAAATGCATGATACTTGGCAGCCCTGTTGGTGGCCTTGGGCTGTTTTCTGCTCTTTGTTCGGGTTGTTCTGTCTATTACACATTCCACGTTTCCATTCTCTATTCAATAATATTCAAACAACAATTCATGAACTGGTAGTATGACTGAGGTAACTGTGGCCTAAACGACTATTGGATAATTGATAGTGTGGCTAAAACATCTTCATCTTGCATGGATCCATCCCAGTCCAGCCTCAGCATGTCACAAAACTTATATCTTTTTGATTATTTGTTTTGACAGATTGCTGTCTCATCATCATGCTCTTTGACATATTACCCCCCCCCCCCCCCCCATTTTCTTTTATTCATAAATCTAGTTTATTTCAGAGATTAATTTCAAACTGTATCAAAATGTAAAGAATGGTACTGGTCTGCAGGTTTTCAAAAATTTCAGAAAATTTTATCATTGAAGTATTTCAAACTTCACCTAATTGCTATTGGGCATTTAAGAATAATGGAATGTAAACTTATGAAAATTAGGGTGCTCTAACTTGTATGTCTAAATGTATGTATGTTTTCTTCAAACTTTGAGTACACTTTTCACTCTAGGAATTTTACAATTCTGATCATTAACTGAGTAGCCTGTAGTCTGTGATTGTTGTTGGTTCATATCTGTTATATTTGTATTTTACAAATTGTTTTGTTATGAATTAGGCCGTTAGTTTTTGTCTACTGAATTGTTTCATATTTTTCATGTCTGTGCCTTTTATAGCCGTCTATACGGTAATGGTTTTTTCTCATTTTTGAAGGCCGTAAAATTGTGCCTACAATTGCTTACATCCACTTCATTTGAACTTTGGTTGAAAGTTGTCTCATTGGCAATCATACCACATCTCCTTAATTTTATAAGTCAGGTATTAAAATATGTTCAGTCATTGCAGAGTCATTATATGGGACTTTTCTTGGTAAAACATACTTTTCAAGAAGCAATTCTTGCCATAACAGGTAGTCAAATCAGCACCTATAGAGAAAGTCCTTTTGGTATTTGGTCAAATCTACATGTAGTAAAATCAGCACCTATTCAAAGTCATTTTGGCGTTCTCTAACTTAAGTTTGCCTCAACCAGATGTTATGAAACTTATACACAATGCTTATTACCACAAAACACAGATCAAGTTGAATTTTGGTGGCGTCACTTTAACCATTCTAGAGTTATGCCACTTTATAAATCGAAAGATTGCAAAATTTTTAGTTTCCATTCTGTAACTTAAGTTTGCCCCAAACAAACATTATGAAACCTATACACAATATTCATTACCACAAAACTAAGATCAAGTACAAATTTTTTGTTTCCGTTTTCTAACTTTAGTTTGCCTCAACCAAATGTTATGAAACTTATACACAATGCTTATTACTACATAATACAGATTAAGTACGAAATTTGGTGAGAACACTTTTACCATTCTTGAGTTATGTCCCTTTATAAACTTAAAAATTGCTGAATTTTTCGTATCCGTTCTCTAACTTTAGTTTGTCTCAACCAAATGTTATAAAACTTATACACAACCGTTCTAGAGTTACACGTGTTTACAAATAGAAAATTTGCTGAATTTTTAGTTTCTGTTCTCTACTTAAGTTAGCCTCAACCAAATGTTATGAGACTTACACACAATGCTTATTACCACAAAACTCCGATCAAGTTCAAATTTGGGTAGCTTCACTTTTACCGTTCTTCAGTTATGTCCCTTTATAACTATATGCTATGCAAGCTGGGGCATCATCTGTGTCCACATGTGGACACTCCACATTTATCTGTATACTATAAACATACATATACTATAAATAAAGTGTATTTGCTATTAACTATCAATTCCAAGTTTACTATCCATGGCGGTCACTGATAGATTATATAGAGACTCTATATAATTAATATATCAGTGACCGCCGTGGATAGTTATGGAATTGATAGTAAATAGCAAATACACTTTATTTATAGTATATGTATGATCATAGTATACAGAAAAACGCGAAAATAATTGTCCTGTCCCCAAGTACTTATGAAAATTATGTGTAATTTTAAAACAGTCCTAAACGGAAGTCTTGTCTATGACTTAAAAGTCTGTCCGATGACGGAAACAATATCCGGATGCCTTTGTTTTCGTTTTCCTCCCAAAATAACCCAAACTGAATAATCATAAGCGAGGATGACAAATGCGACTATGCATGGTACCTATAGGACACAGAGGCAAGATGATTAATTTATTGTGGAAGGAAGAGAAGCGACACACAAAATGAGGTCTTCTCATTTAATAGTATAGAAAACTTGTACCAATTAAAACAATTAACCTGTTTGTTGTCTTAACCTTTAATTTCTCAGGTAGTTTTTGATGTTATATAAATTTTCAAAAACTTAAATAAAACAATGAAGCCAAATAATGAAATTAGAAGATCTACTTAATGAAAGTTGAACTTTTAGTTATTACTGGCATCAGGCTATCGCATTGTAAGACGGACAGCTATATAATTTAAGTTTAATACAGTAATGAGATCAAGATAAGAGGCACTTAATATGAAAGGCTGGCAGCACAGAACCTGTAACAAAATTTCAAACCCATACCCCCAAACAATTACAAACAGAAATATTATTCTCTTTTCTATATATATAAGCACCCCATTATTCTATATGTATTTTTATAAGTTAGCCTCTGTGAAAATAATAAAAAAAAAAGTAGAGTATTTTACTTGCAAAGCATCATGTTAACCATGGATGCCGACATAACTACCTCAGGTGTTGAATTAACCTGTTGTCGATTGGACTAGGTATGGAATTGACTATACCAAGTGCCTATTCAACCAGGTGCAGAAGTGACCAGGTTTTGATCTTCTTGCCACAAATAAAATGCTCGATTTTTTTAATGCATTCTTTATTTTTCTCTTTTGTCATGTTTGGAGATCTCAGATTATCTTGCAAAAACACAAATTGGAAACAAACTTCATAATGAGAAGCAAAATGAAAAAGAACCTTACAGCAAAGACAAAAAGTGCCAGCATGAGAGGACAACTGACTTCCTTTTTGATTTTTAGCATAACTTTGACTCATGTTTCTCAGATTAAAAAAAAAGAACATGGTGCTATGGTAGATGAAAGAGCACCACCTATTCAAATTTGGGGGCAGAATAGTATTTCTAACAACAGTAGCTTGAAAAAAATGCAGTAAACCCCATTTTGTAATACTATTCAGAAGAATATAGAAAAAGGTTTTGGCAGGGGTTGAAGTTTCCACATTCCCACAGCATGTATTCATTAATACTGCTGAGAATCAAAATTGTATCACAAATTTGATATCATGTCATTTGCATATTTTTAGTTCCCAAAATGCAATATTATATAAATTTTTAAACATGAATTACTCCAATCTTTAAAAAAATTGACACAAGTGCTAAACCAAACCTTTTAGGGAAACTAAACACTGAAAAAAACATAGCCCCTTAGAAAGATTTCAAGGAATAAGACTTTGATTTCTTTCTTCATGACAATGTCACCATGTGTTGTCTCTTGTTTCATAAACATTGGATTTACCATACAAAATACTGAAGGGACCTTTCTTTCCTAGTCACAGTTTATGTCTCACAGAGATTTAAGCCAAGTTCTGACTTTTAAAGTGCCAATCTGTCTAAGAATCAGGCAGTGGTGAAAACATGACAAACAAAAACCCACTCAAGTTGACATTAATTTATGTTCAAATTGTATAATGATGCGCGAATATAACATTTGTTTCCTTTTCCTGTTCTGGTAATTCAAGATATAATCCCCTTAACAATTAAGGGGAGCTAACTCCGTAATTTGCTATCATTCTAACCAAAAGTTATCTAGAGATTTCTCGAATTACCAGACATGCAGAAACAAAAGACCTACCAATTCTAACTCAGGATGAGGGTAGCTTCAAAATAGGATGGTTAGGTCGGTGGGTTTTTTTCGGCCATGTTTTGAAATTTTTTTAAATTGCCTGATTCTTACAAAGACTGGCACTTAAAGACTAATATTTTGGAAGAACTGTGGTAGGAACTCACAATTTTGAAGCCTTTGAGTTGGTAACAAACTTTTTTTGGAAATTAAATGGTGAAATTCAAGGAGCAGAGTTCTATTATTACTATTACTGTGGATTCATGATTATTTGTGGGATACCAATTTTCGAGGAATAGAGGTTAACCACAAATTTAAATGTTTGACAAAGTGCAAATTTTCTATAGGCTTGTATGCAGACTTTGGCAAAACCGCAAAATCAAATATCAACGACATTTTTTTTTTCTTAAATCCACGAAAATTAAAACCCACAAAAATGAATGAATTCACAGTAATAAAGAGTAAATGGCTATTGATATGCTTCATTCAATTATTTATAGATGAAAGTATTTGTTGAGTATTATGTGTGATGGATTGATACCAATTGGAGTGTTCTGGGATATAGAGAATATAAGTATACCAAAGAAGAAGTCTGCTTTTCGCATTGTACAGACAATTAGACATAAATTCTTTGATGGACACAAGGAGGCTGAGTTTGTGTGTGTGTGTGATACAGTTAAAGAGAGGAAAGATGTTATACAAGAATTAAATGCTGCTCAGGTTGGTACACATTTAGCATGTTTAGAAGTTTATCTATTGTAGCCTGTGTTTAATGATGAATAATGGAGATGTGAAGTACAAATGTATACATCAATGAGACAGCAACCCACCATCCAAAAAAAAAAAACCCATCATGAACAGCATCTAACTTTAATCTTTAGAGCTATTACTAATTTCCATGTTGAACAAAAGATTAATGGTTTGCTTGTAAGGATGCTTGCTCAACTGTGTTTGTATTTTTAGGTGACGGTTGTGCATGTAAATTCTACGAGCAAGAATGCTGCTGATGACAAGTTAAGACAAAGTCTTAGAAGATTTGCAGATGTTTATTCAAGTCCAGCAACAGTTTTACTTTTGTCTAGTAAGAAATTTCTGAAACTGTCACGTAAATCTGTCAATTGTTAGAAATTGGCTACTATTTATTTCACTAACATTATAGATAGTTATTTGATGGGATGTTATTTTTTGCTCATTGCACACCAGTAGTTGCTGAATGGGCATTACTAAATTAAAAATGCAGGGCATGCGCTTATCAGCTATGGACGTGTAAAATATATCTAACCACAAATGGGATATTAAGCTGGATAACGTAAAAGTTAGATGACGAAACTTGCTACATAGCTAACAGACTATATATGTAATGTAAAAACTTCGTAATATTTTACAAATCAATATCATTTGAGAACTTTTGAGAACTTTTTTGAAACGCTTTTGAAACGGGTTCTAATCAAAACAATAACAATGGCGACCTCCATGGCCAAAGAAAGTGAACACAGTTCTGACCATTTGGTAACGAATTCACAACCTATTATTAATTCACCATCTCTGAATATGAACAAAAGGTGTAACCCTGATAGTCCAGATAACCTCCCTGCAACCCAAAAGCAAAATACACGACAGATTAGGCGTCGCAACTCCATAGGCGACCTACGAGATATCGAAAAAAAGACACCAGCAACACGTAAAAACATTACAGACAAGGTCATTGAAGCACTCACCAGTCCAGATGTTCTCAACACAATAATTCCAGTATTGGCTGAAAAAATCAGTGAAACCTTAACTCCACTAATTGAAGAACAAGTGCAAAAATGCATCGCAGCACACGTCGAACCAATTAAAAAGTCTGTCAATGAACATGAAGCCAAAATAAATGACCACACAGAAAAAATATGTAGACAATTCATATGGATAAATAAAATAGACACTCAGTTAAAGGAAAATTCTAGAATTTTGGACCTTTGGGATTCGGAGCTTGAGGCACTCCATAAAAAAACCAAGGATATAGATAGTAGATTAGAAAGCCAAGAGCAGTACTCTCGTCGGACCAGTCTCCGCTTTCATAACATCCAAGTACCAGTTGACGGACACGGAAAAATTCTTCACCCAGTCAATACGGATGACAAAATCCTAAGTATTTGCAACAGCCAACTTGGCCTCGACCTCTCTATTAACGATATTAGTAGAAGTCACGTCATTGGTAAAGCTAAATATGGCAAGTGTCAAGTCATTGTTAGATTTATGTCTTACCGTACTAGAGACATGGTATATACAAACAAAAAATATCTGAAACACAACGAAGATGGTATTTTCATAACTGAGAATCTTACCAAATTCAGAACAGACCTGACAAAAAAACTATCCCAGATGAAATACAACAACCAAATACACGCCTATTGGACTTCAGATGGTCGTATATTTGTTAAAAGGGCTGAAAAAAGTAGAAAGGAACTGATAAATAGCTTTGATGACATCTCTGACATCGAACGGGGCATTACCGAATCACCTAACCAACTACGTTCAGATACTGATAGGAGTCCAGAAACAAATGAAGTTAATAACTCACAACAGTCTAATAATGGAGAGTAAAACTGTTTGAACAAAACATAACTGTTTTTCTTATCTAGTTTGAGCTGTTGAAATAATTGCTATACAATGTATATTGACTTTCCGTCGTTAATACCATAAACGGGTTTGTCTGAACTTGAAAATTTCAGTAGTAGACAGATGGTCTAATCCAACTAAAGCTTTTTTCTTTGTTTTTGTTTTAGTTATCTGAATAATTTCAATCAACTGCTAGTTACATCATTTATCCAACACACTCTCTTTCCCCTGTTCACTTGTACATACAATTGCAACTTATTTCTTTTTTCCACTGATATTAATAATTCCAGGCTTGACAATTCAAGTATAATTTTCAAACTCGTATTGTGACGATGTCTGTTTAATTTCCTAAGTGACTAAATACATTTGAAAAAACACATAATATGTGATACCCCCCTTTTTTTAAACTGGATATAACAGTGAAAATTTGTACCCTTTAATAAAAAAAATAAAAACTTTATTCATATTTAATGCTTTTTTCTCACCTAAATAAAATCAATACAAATAATCTTAAATTTAATAAAACATTTTTGTAAACCCGATAGAGTTTACAGCTGTGATGATAAATGTAATATGACTTCTTTTTGTTGAAAACTTCAGATGCCTCCACCTTTAAAGATTTATGTAAACAAAATGTTATAACCATGCAAAAACATGCAGTTCACTGACGTATACTTGGGTTTTTGTTTCAAATTTATGATAACAAATACCTAAGTATGAACAACTATATTGAACACTTTTGAATGATATTGAAATATAAAAGAAGATATTATTATCAAAACGTATTAATGATGAAAAAACCTGCTTTACTTTAAAAAATTGAAGCAGTTATTTTATACTGTAAACCCTTACGGCCTCTTTTGACGTTAATTGACACTGAGAATGAAGTTATCTATTTAAATTCGGGTGCGTTTGACTAGAAAGTCCTAAAATATTAAAGACTTCTTGAAATTTGAATTCGCAATTACATATACGAATGTAGCTATATCGCTGTTATTATTATTATTTGTCTGTACTGCACCATTTAATGTATATGATGTATTTTGTTGTATTGATGTCACTTGTAGTATTTGTTTTCATCTTGCGTGGCTCTATGCATAAATGTTGAGTTTATAGGTGTTTCCTTTTTTTACTTATTTAACTTCTTTAATTTAATATTTTATTTAGAACTAATAAATTCTTCTCAATCAATCAATAATCCTTAAATGCAATTAGGTAAGAAGTTTGTAAACTTCCATAACCATATGATTTTACACGTAACAACATATCAGTATAATGCTTTTTAAAAAAAGTTCGAAGTCTTCAAGTAGTAAATCATTTCCCATTTCAAATACAAATGCTTTCTCTCATATTCCAAACCTTGTTTCTTTTGTTTTGTATATTTTTCTTTTATTTGTCTTTTTTGAATTTTTCCTCAGTTATATGTGATGATGTGTGTGGTTGTTGTGATTTATATATTTCGTTTTGCTGCCTTATTATATGTATTATGATTTCTATGATAAAACCCAATGGGTAATTGTATAGAACAATATAGGGCAGCTATCGGGTTATTTAACTTATGTAGATGCACTTTTAGACTCGGCAGCTTTAACTCACGAACTAGTGATAGCTCTTTAAAAGAAATATTACTTACCAATTTCAGATGCTCATTACTCGTCGTCTCTCTCTCACTTCTCCAGAGCTTAAATCCGAATATAGATATTGTTTTTCTGCTATTTGTTTTAAATGTCATCCTAATTATAGGAAATATTGAGACTAATCCAGGTCCGAATATAGATATTATAACTGACTCTACTAGCATAAATGAAACCTCACTATCCATATGTAACATAAACATACGTAGTCTACGAAATAAGCTTAATTTTCTCCAAAACTTTACTGACGAATTTGATATATTAACTATAACTGAAACCCATTTGGATCCAAGTGTTAACATTGACGATTTGCAGCTTTCCTCATTTTCAAAGAATATAATCCGAAAGGATCGTAACAGTGCCGGCGGAGGCATTGTCATCTATGTAAAGGATGATATATCCGTCGTACGTAAAGGTGAACTCGAAAACCACATTGATGAGACAATATGGGTAGAGATTAAAGGTAAAGGTCAGTCATTTCTTCTTTGTTGTACTTATAGGCCTGAGTGGACGGACAATGACTATTGGACAAGACTTAATTATTCGCTGGGATTGAGTTACCAACTAAGCGAGAATATTGTGATAACAGGAGATTTGAACTCTGATTTATTTTCAATCCATAATAATAAATTATATGATACAATGAAACTTTTTAATTTAGAAAATGTAATAAATAAACCGACAAGGGTGACTGGACACAGTAGCACATTACTAGACCCGATAATAATCAGCGACACAATTAAATATTCTGTTGCCGACGTACTTAAATTACCGTCGGAAATAAGTGATCACGATGCTTCTTTAATATTTTTAGAATGTCCGAGATTTGCATCCAAATCATTCAAAAGAGAAATTTGGTTGTACGATAAAGCAGATTTAAAAAATTTTTCTTCCGGACTTGATTCTGTCAGTTGGGATGCACTTTTTTCTGATGTTGAGGATGTCGACGAGATGTGCAATACATTTACTCAAAAAATCCTTGACATCGCAAGGCAGAGCATCCCAACTCGACATGTTTATATACGAAACAATGACAGACCATGGTTTGACAACGAGTTAAGGAAAGAAATCCGCAGAAGAGATCGATTTCGTAAAAACGCCTTAAAAACTAAAAAAGATTCTGACATTAATAAATACAAAAAGCAGAGGAATAAAGTAAATAATTTGAAAAAAGCTGCAAAAGAAAAATTTGAAAGAAGCTTGGATAATATCATCTTAAATAACGTGGCTAACCCTAAAACTTATTGGAAGATAATGAAAATGCTTATTAAATCCAATAAGGGTTCTGGTGATTTACCACCACTTAATAATATTATTCACGATGAAAGTATGGAAGATGTAGTGTACGGAGACGACGAGAAATGTAATCTGTTGAATAAATATTTTAGTCTAATTTCTTCCCTAGAGGAGGAAGGTGTTCCCATCCCTGAAGTTGAACCAAGAACCAATATTATTTTAAATGATTTAGTAATTGAAAAATATGAAATAGTTGATATAATTAAAATTTTAGATCCTAATAAGGCATCTGGTCCAGATGTCATAAGTCATAAAATGCTGAAAATGTGTCCTGAAAAAATAGCAATTCCTTTAAAAATAATATTTAATAAATCCCTACAACAATGTAAATATCCCACCAGCTGGAAGACTGCAAATGTAATTGCTTTTTTTAAAAAGGGAGATAGTTCTCTACCATCTAACTATAGGCCTATATCGCTTATAAGTTGTGTAGGGAAAATAATGGAGCGAGTTGTTTATAAACATGTCTTCAATCACCTACATAGAAATAAGTTAATATATGAATACCAGTCTGGTTTTCTTCCAAAATGTTCAACAGTTCACCAGCTTTTAGAAATTTACAACTGTATTTTAAATTCACTAGAAAATAAAGAAATTAGCTGTTTCGTTTTCTGTGACTTTTCTAAAGCTTTTGATAAAGTTTGGCATCAAGGATTGCTATATAAAATGAAGTCATACGGTGTGGACGGGAAATTACTGAATTGGTTTAAAAGTTACCTGAACAACAGACAACAGCGAGTTGTTATTAAACAATCGTCGTCAGAGCTTTGCAGTATTTCAGCTGGTGTCCCACAGGGTTCTGTTTTGGGACCGCTCTTATTCATTATTTATATTAATGATATTGCTGAAAATTTGATATCTTTATGTAGATTATTTGCAGATGACACATCTCTCAGCTACTCTAGTCGTGACACGTCACAAATAAAATCAGTGATCAGTCACGACCTGAGTGAGCTGAGCGATTGGTCTAAGAAATGGCTGATGTCCTTTAACCCAGAAAAAACAGAAATCATGTTGTTTTCATACATTGAAACTCCGGAAATGAATTTCATATTCAATGGTAAGAATATTAAAGTTACAGATTTTCATAAACACTTGGGTGTTACATTTAGTAGAGATGCTAAATGGAACACTCATGTGGAAAGTATCATAAAAAATGTATCGAAACATTTGAATGTACTTAGAAAACTAAAGTACAGATTAAGTAGAAATAACTTAGAAAAGCTATACTTGACTTTTATAAGACCGTTACTCGAATACGCCTGTGAAGTTTGGGATAATATGGGTGTGGGTTATTGTAACAAATTAGAGCAGCTGCAGCTTGAGGCAGCCAGAATTGTAACAGGTCTTCCTATTTTTACTAGTAGTAGAATTATTTATGATGAGATTGGTTGGGAAACTCTAGCTGAACGAAGAGAAAGGAGGAAGTTACAATTATTTTATAATATTCAACATAATAATGCACCAGCCTATCTTTGCAATTTAATTCCACCAACAATCCAAAGTACAGCTGTTTATCCCTTACGTAATGGGAATGATATAATATACCCTTTTTGTAGACTTTCATTGACCCAAGAATCCTTCATACCTTCAACTATACGACTGTGGAATAACCTTAATGTGCTGACCCGCAACATTGACTCTTTAGGTAAATTCAAAACTGAATTAAAAAATCTTAAACTAAATTCAAAAGCCCAAGTACCCAAACATTATAAATTTGGCAATCGTAAACTCAACATCATTTTGACTCAACTTAGATGCTCAGCCTCGTTTTTGAATTATGATCTTAACAGAGTTAATATAATTTCAGATCCGTCTTGTAGCTGTGGTGCTAAGCGTGAAGATTCATTTCACTTCTTTTTTGAATGTCCTAATTATACGAATATAAGAATCAAACTATCTAATAATCTGAACTGGTTACCAGAGAACTCTCTATTAAATTTGAACATCTTAACCTCCGGTGATTCGTCATTAACTAATGATGAAAATGAAAGAATTGTAAAGAATGTATATGAGTTTATTAAAGAGTCAAAGAGGTTTCTAATTGTGTAATACAGCACACTAAAGTGCATATACATGTATATTGTGTACAACCATTCACATCATCACACATCATCTTTTACATATCCAATATATACAATGTATTGTTTGCATGCATGCTTTGTAAAAAATTCTATTGTTATAAATTGTTCATGGGAGAAGACTTCATAAGTTTGATTAACTTGTGTCTCATCCCTTTTGCATATTTAAGCAAATAAAATATGTTTAAACTAAACTAAATTAAAAACTGCCAATGTTTAATGCAGTACTATTTATTTATTGTTAGTATGCTTGTGGTAAAACACTTCTAATCTGTTGTAGAAAAAGTCAGTTTATCTTTTACCATTTTATCCACTGTCAAAAATTATTTTAATTATCCGAAGACCTCATGATGAAGGGTGTAATTGAGGTATAACAAATGAATCACAATGCAAATTTATTTGACCACATCAAAAAAGGTGCCAATTGGCTAATGAACTTTCACTGAGTAATTAAGATAATGTTGTAATTAGTATGAAAATAAGGAGATAAATCAGTGAGACAGAAACCAACCAAAACCAAAAAAGATAATTATTATCTCATGTCCATACCATATAACAAGATATTACTGGTAATCATGGGGAGTGTAGACACCTCATAAATAAATCCAAATAAGATTTCTGATGGGATCTGACAGCATCAAATTCATTATTATATAAATGAAGAAAAAACAACTTACTTGAGACAGGAACATTAAGATGTCAGACTAGTTTTTTAGTACTCAACCCTCCCCTTTTTTTTATATTGAGGAATGACAAAAAGTACAATGAAAATTAAACAGTTAAGATAAGATAAAATTTAGTAACATTTAAATATTTGCTTAGAACAGTAAACCTTTGAGGTACCTTTTACATCTAAAATGAAGAACTTTACACTCACAAAAATGACCTGTCAAACAGTACTTCTTTAAAATGTGACATAGGCTTATAGCTGACTATGTGGTTTTGCTCAGCCTCATTGTTGTCTCATTGGCAATATCATACCACATCTTTTCATTTTTGTCTCGCCTTGACAGAGTCAAAAAGCGAGACATAGGTATGCTGTTTCCGGTGGCGTCAACGGTGCGGCGTCAACAATGTATTAGTTTGTGATTAGGTCTAGTTCATGGTGAACCACTAGTGGTAGGTCAATGATATTTGGTATGCAGTTGTACTAGCATTGGCACATCTCATTACCATGGAGATTATTTGGCCCCGCCCCCTCAGTCAAGGTCTATTGACTTTGAAACTGTTCTTAGTTTACATGTTTTATTTTGTGATTAGGTCAGTTTATGGGGAACCACTAGTGATAGGTCAATGATATTTGGTATGCAGTTGTATAAGCATTGGCACATCTCATTTCCATGGAGATTATTTGGCCCCGCCCCGTCATTCATGGTCTATTGACTTTGAAACTTTTGCTTAGTTTGTGATTAGGTCAGTTTAAGATGAACCACTAATGTAAAGTCAATGATATTTGGTATGCAGTTGTATAAGCATTGGCATACCTCATTTCCATGGAGATTATTTGGCCCAGCCCCCTCATTCATGGTCTATTGACTTTGAAACTTTTGCTTAGTTTTCATGTATTAGTTTGTGATTAGGTCAGTTTAAGATGAACCACTAATGTAAAGTCAATGATATTTGGTATGCAAATGTATTGGCTAAGTTTCATTTCCATGGAGATTATATAACCCCACCCCCTAATTATGGTTCATTGACTTTGAAACTTTTACATAGTTTACAAGTTAATGTTTGTGTTTAGGTTTGTTGAAAGGGAACGACTTACAAAAAGACAATGGTATTTGGTTTGCAGTTGTATTAACATTGGCACATCTCATTTCCATGGAGATTGTTTAGCCCTGTACCTTTAGTCATGGTTCATTGACTTTGAATATTTGCATAACTTACATGTTAAAGTATTGCTATTTTAATTTCAACATTTGCATTATCAAAATAACAAATAGGCGAGACATATCTCTGTGTTAACAGTTTATTATATTACTAGAGATGACTGAAAAGTTTTTAGACAGTCTAATACTATTAATACATTTTGTAATATAGTTGACTAAAAAAATCTAAACAAGAGGCAAAGGATGTCTTGTATTGAAAATGATGAAAAGTTGGAAATTACTTTTTCAATTATTGTTGACTTTTAACATATAAAGGCTCGATAAGGGTTTTTAAGGACAACTATATTATTTTGTTGTTGCTTTTTTAACAACAAAATTATATCTATTATTCAATTGCTGGCTTGTTTCAATATCCTTCAGGAGTCCAAGCTCCTCCTGATGCTTCCTATCCAGGGCAGTAATTAGTTGTAAAATTCAAAATAATGCAAACACATATTCTAGAATATCACACATTGTCCAGATGTTGTCTAATGACCACTAAATTATTTTATATTTTGTGCAGGTGATGTGAATTTTTCCTCAGATTTGTCAGATTTAAGACACAGGAAGAATTTAAATGTTATATTAGTACACAATAAAGAAGTGCACAAATCCCTAACAGCATGTGCCAACAGAACTGTCCTATATGATGACCTTACCAGGGAGATGCAGCAGTGTGAGAAATCTGTTGACTTGGTATGTATTCACATACAATTCATAACATGAAAACTTTGTCAAAATTTCAAGTTCTTGTTTAAATTGTTGATTTTTAGAGCAGAATTTTCCAGCTGGAAAGCATTTGGATGTGATTATCAGAAATAGTATTGTTCCTCTATAGACTTTCTTTCGTTAAATAACTTTAAATAGGTGAATTTTTAACAAGTTGGATTTTTATACCCAGGCCATTAGCAATGGGGGCATTAAGTGTTACCCTTGACCATCCATCAATTTATTTCTTTGCTTTAGATATTGTGTGACTGTGTAACATTACATAGAATGATTAAATCCATTTTTTAAAGGCCTCATACAGTAACTTAATATCTGTGTGCAGAAGATTTCTTGGTTTCCAATTCTTGAGATAAAAGTTTGAACTCTAATGACAAAATAGTAGCAAACCATAAATAAAAGTTTGAGACATGTTTTCGCTTCCCAAAAAATGAGAAATAAATGGGTTGTAATAAAATTACATGTATAGATAAATTTTTGGAGAAGCAGCATAAGGGAGATTATTCAAACACTGAAAATAAAATTAAAATCTCCAAAATTTACTTATACAAGAACATATTACTTACACCATCATGTATATAAGAATTACTTATATAAGTATTTGCTGACTGTTTAAGGGGGCCAGAATTGGTCTTTATTTTGCCCCCAGCTCCATTTTTTGTCATCCTTGATTTCTTTTGATACTTATTAAAATAAATGTATAACACTGTAATGAACATATACAGTAAATTTATTTTATGTTGCAGAAAAATGAACCTACTGATTTAGAAATCAGAGGATATGGTCCAAATATACGCAAGAAGAGATTACAGAATCGGTTTAAACAGCTATCAACTAATTGTGGTGGGAAAGTGATTTGTGTGAAGGAAGATGTTTCTGTTGTTAGATTTCAAAGTTACACTGATGCAAACAGGTAATAATTTCATGCAGTTGGTTTTTTACATTTATCATTAACCTCCCAATGGAAATCATTACAAATCATACTTCTAAATTTACATATATCACATGATAATTGATCTAATCATGATGTTGGACCATAGTGTACATGTGGTAATGGTTTTTATGTTTTGTTGATTCCCCACCCCACCCCTAGATATGCCTCTTTTAACTTACTAACTTTTTGCCATCATAACGGGTTAAACCATGACTTACTGTACATAGCAACTCCTACATGCTTTGAAGGATTATACATTTTTGAACTTTTTGAAAATATTTTTAAACCAAAACTAAAAGGCATCTGTCAACTGCTATTGCCTTGACAGTCTTAAGATGAACATATTGGCTATGTCGCAGCAAGAGTTGCTTAGTTCCTTTAGTATCTTCCTGATCAAATAGATATAAGAAGATGTGGTATGAGTGCCAATGAGACAACTCTCCATCCAAGTCACAATTTGTGAAAGTGAACCATAATAGGTCAAAGTACGGCCTTCAACAGGGAGCATTGCCTCACGCCGAACAGCAAGCTATAAAGGGCCCTAAAAATGACTAGTGTAAAACCATTCAAACAAGAAAACCAACAGTCTAATCTTTATAAAAAACGAGAAACGAGAAACACTTATGAACAACATCAACAAACGACAACCACTGAACATCAGGTTCCTGACTTAGGACAGGTGCAAACAAATGCAGCGGGTTTAAAGGTTTTAATAGGCGCCAACCTTCACCCTACCTGAAACAATAGTGTAACATTACAAAGCCTTTTAAACTTGAATATATAACTAAATTCAGGACCCACCTTTATGTAGACCTCTGTCTAGAAGGATATTTAGTCCCACATATTTTCTCTATTACTCTTAAGGCACTTTGGGTGTGAAATACTCCTTTTATACATTTGTAGCAGCAAAAGATCTATGAATAAATTAATTCTTTCACTCATTGATTAATACATAAAAGGATGTATATGAATATATGATATTTACTTATGTTAACAAGGCCAGGATAAGGTACTGATACTTGATGTTTTTCAACTAACAAATGTTCAGATTTCAATAAAATATGAAAAATAAAAAAAAATAACATAAAAGGATAAAAGGAATTACCAAAAATATAACAGTTCAACAAGCCACACTTTTCAATAACACCAAACTCTTTTGAAGAGTGTACATTCTGAAGTTTTGATGCCAGCTAAACTGTTAGAATAAAGGTTTAGAAAATGTTCTATAGAATACAGGTATTTTCATTTTAATTTCCAAACAATGGGAAACCAATTTTATAAGTTATTGTGTATAAATCATCTATACCTGAAAACTAAAGTATAATTTCATTTTGCTGTATTTTCTGTAAAAATCATGGATTTTTTTCATTCATTGTCTAATCTCCTCCCACACTTGATAGTTCACATATATTCAGCTCCTTATTAGTTGTATTGAACAAATATTACGATGGTTAGATGTTTGGATATTTGTACTCAGGTTGAAATAAAGTATGAACATATATTTCACAGTACTCAGTTGATAGTGAAAAGATCATAGAATATTTGTTGTAGAAAATTCAAACATGGAACACAGCTTTCTTTATAATTGAGAAATTGATTCACTCCCCTTATGAACATTTATCAGATTTTCTGTACCTGTGATCTTCAAATATCACAAGATTGCTTATTTGTTTTAATAAGAATAATATTAAATGTATGATTCAAGGGGTATGTTATATCTATTGGTCAGTTATCCTATAAGATACAATAGAACCTATTTGGTATCATTGTCACATGTATGCTGTCCAGTCAGTACTAAATGATGAGTTTTTGTGGAAGGTTTCAACAAGGGATAGTTATTTTTAACACAAAGTAAAAACAAAGTTTTATGGCCCCCACCACAAAGTAGTCGGGGCCATATTGTTTGAACCTTATCCATCATTCCGTCATTCCACCATTCTGTCATTCCGTCATTCCGTCATTCTGTCATTTCGTCATTTCATCATTCCGTCATTTTGAAATGAACAGTTATACAGACTTTTTTCTAAATGCCTTCACATATTGCGTGATTTTTAGTGTGTGAGTCTACTATGATGAGTTACAGATAGGATTAACGTTTGGTTCTGCTCAGCTGATTTTTGTCAAAATTACTGGCTTTGGACTTTGAAAAATTTTGTGAAAATAATAGCTATACAGACTTTTTATGCCCCCGCCGTAGCAGAGGGGGCATTAAGTTTTACCCTTGTCCGTCCGTACGTCCCAAAGTTGGTTTCCATTCTCTAACTTTAGTTTGCCTCAACCAAATGTTATGAAACTTATACACAATGCTGAATACCACAAAACACAGATCAGGTTTGAATTTTTGTGGCGTCACTCTAACCCTTCTAGAATTATGCCCCTTTACAAATGGAAAAATTGCTGAATTTTTCGTTTCCGTTCTCTAACTTAAATTTGCCTCAACCAAATGTTATGAAACTTATACCCAATACTTATTACCACAAAACTAAGATCAAGTACAAATTTGGGTAGTTTCACTTTTACCGTTCTTCAGTTATGTCCCTTTATAACTTTATATGATATGCAAGTGGGGGCATCATCTTTGTCCTATGGACACATTCATCATTTATTTTTCTAAATGCCTTCACATATTGAACTGATTTTTAGTGTGTGAGTCTACTATGATGAGTTACAGATCAAGTTTACTTTTGGTTCAACTCTTAATTTTTTGCCATAATTATGGGCTTTGGACTGATTTTTAGTGTGTGAGTCTACTATGATGAGTTTCAGATCGAGTTTACCTCTGGTTCTACTCTGCTGATTTTTGCTAAAATTACAGGCTTTGGACTTGTGAAAATAACAGTTATAACGCCTTCACATATTGAGCTGATTTTTAGTGCATGAGTCTTCTATGACCAGTTACAGATGGGGTTTACTTTTTTTCCTCTCTGATGATTTTTGCAGATATCACAAGCTTTGGAAATTGAAAATTTCATGAAAAGAACAGTTATACAGACTATCATTCTCAAATTTCCACTCTTAATAATGGCTTCAGGTTTTTTTGGGAGCGGGGCCATTTGTGTTGTTCCCACACATCTAGTCTGGTTTTAAAATTAAAATCTATTGATAAGGATTGAATGCTTCATTATATTCCCCAGCTACAAAATCATTTAGACATTATGTTACATGCATCTTCTTAGATACTGTAAATGTACAGTTGTCAGGGGGTATTATGTTTTTTCCTGTCTGTATGTACCTCTGTACAATAGCCTGTATAAAAATTAGAGTTTTTACCAAGGTTTTGCAGTTCAACACACATTCTTGTTTTTAGTGCTTCTATACCCCAACAAAAGAAGCATTACTTTCTATTGAGAAGAAATTTAAAAATTGACTAGTAAGAATATATAAAACCTTTAGAGGTCAAGTTTTTGTCCAATCATATTGAACTTAAATTTGTTCTAGCTATTTCCTTCAAAAATTCTTGTGTGATTATCCTATAGAAATCTAAATTAACAATGAGATTATTAGAATAATAAACTTAATTCAGAAATCAGGTAAGTGTATTCGAATATTTAATGATCAGCTGAAGAGATGAAACTAAAGCAATTTTAGAAATTCCAACTTGTAATTTCTGGTTACTTATGAGAAACATGCTGTGGAAATTGATATTTTATTCAAAGGATATTGAGATTTGGACGCATGCCAAGTTTGGACCTGAGTGGTTTTAGAAAAAGAAGATAAAATTATTATTTTTGCCTGTAATGTCAAGTGAGCTATTCTCATACTTGGTGTCCATTGTCCGTTGACGTCTTCCGTTGTTGTTGTCTATCAAAATTTGCAAAAATCTTCTTATTGAAACTATTGTATCAGTTGGAACTGCCAACAAATATTGTTGGCATATCTAAAAAAAAAGAAAATTGGAGTTGAATGGCTGTTGTCTGCTCTATGGTCGGGTTGTTGTCTCTTTGACACATTCCCCATTTCCATTCTCAATTTTATTTGTCTATTATCTTGAAAACTACTATATAAAGAGAAAATCTGACAGTGGCAGAAATGTTCAGAACATTAAACTCTACCTACTGTCCATTTACACCAAAACTGTCCAACAAATTCTCACAGGACTTATTGCCCTTTAATGACATTTTCACCATTTTTGTCGAGCCTTTGACTTTTGTCGAAAAAGCGAGACATAGCGATCCTACATTCCGTCTTCGTCGTTGTTGTCGTCGTCGGCGGCGTCCACAAATATTCACTCTGTGGTTAAAGTTTTTGAAATTTTAATAACTTTCTTAAACTATCCTGGATTTCTACCAAACTTGGACAAAAGCTTGTTTATGATCATAAGATTATATTCAAAAGTAAATTTTGTAAAAAGAAAATTCCATTTTTTCCATATTTTACTTATAAATGGACTTAGTTTTTCTGCCAGTAAACATTACATTCACTCTGTGGTTAAAGTTTTTGAAATTTTAATAACTTTCTTAAACTATCCTGGATTTCTACCAAACTTGGAAAGAAGCTTGTTTATGATCATAAGATAGTATCCAGAAGTAAATTTTGTAAAAAAAAAATTCCGTTTTTTCCGTATTTTACTTATAAATGGACTTAGTTTTTCTGCCAGTTAACATTACATTCACTCTGTGGTTAAAGTTTTTAAAATTTTCACAACTTTCTTAAACTATCCTGGATTTGTACCACACTTGGACAGAAGCTTGTTTATGATCAAAAGCTAGTATCTAGAAGGAAATTTTGATAAAATTTTGTTCCATTTTTTCCGTATTTTACTTATAAATGGACTTAGTTTTTCTTCCAGTCAACATTACATACATTCTGCAGTTTAAGTTTTTAAAACATTTATTAGATTCATAAATTATCCTGGATTTTTACCAAACTTGGACAGAAGCTACTTACAATCAAAAGATAGTATAGAGATGAATATTTTTATTTATTTTTTTCCTCATTTTTGTAGGCAAAAGTAGGCGAGACACTGGGTTCCGCGGAAC